TGTTGTGCCCCAAGGGCAGGACCCGGCCCTGAGCCTTGTTGACCCTCACCCCGTTGGCCTGGGCCCATCGCTCCAGCCTGGCCAGGTCCCTCTGCAGGGCCTTCCTGCCCTCCAGCAGATTGACACTTCCACCCAACTTGGTGTCATCTGCAAACTGACTGAGGGTGCCCTCGATCCCCTCATCCAGATCAGCAATGAAGATACTGAACAGGACCGGCCCCAACACTGAGCCCTGGGGAACACCACTGGTGACCGGCCGCCAACTGGATTTGGCTCCGTTCACCACCACTCTCTGGGCTCGGCCGTCCAGCCAGTTTTTTACCCAGCGAACCATACACCCGTCCAAGGCACGAGCAGCCAGTTTCTCCAGGAGAATGCTGTGGGAAACCGTGTAAGAGGTTTTGAAGGTACACAGTTTTTTCTTAACCTGTTTTTAAATTAAATGTCTCTTTTGTAATGTCAATTAATATTCTAACATGAATTAGCAGGTTTGCCATAAACAACGTGTCTAATCTTCCCCATACGGAAGTACAAGCTGCACCTCCTAAGGAACATAACTTGTTATGCTGGACGTAAAGCACCCACGGACTCTTCCAGTGTTTCAAAGCCAAAGGTGACTTTGCTATCTTCCTGAACAGCCAAATTCACTTTCAGAAGCTGGTAAAACAGCTTTGAAACTCAGTATATATTATTTGAACCAGTAAGTAATAAAAAAAAAACCAAACAAAAACAAATCTTCAAACAATAAAGAAGGAAAGAAGGTGGAAATAGTTAGCAGTCTACTGGGCAAGCTGGCACATGTCTTTGGCTGAATTCTGACGTCAGTGAAGTTGTATGAGAGCAGCCGAGGACGGGATCCATGGTGCTTGCTCTGTGAAAGTTTATACGATGGGGTAACACAACATTGCAAACGTACAAAGAAATTGTTACCAGCCATCCACCTGCAAGCCGGGACCAAAGTGCTATGGCAGAAACTCGTCTCGCATTTGTGGGACTACACCCAGAATAACGTATTTCCGTCACCTCAAGGTATCACAATTCTTTAAGGGAGAGAAAAAACAGAGGGGGAGGAAGGCAGCCAGTATAGGTAACAGCTAACGAAAAAGCTAATGCAAAAGTTGCTGTCTCTTTTGTCATCCAGCCTGAGGTATCTTGATGCACACATATGGTTTCTCACTTCCCTAAATAATCTATTTCCATTGCAACAACCAGAAGAAACCATTATACAGAGAGACGCTTAGCTGTCCATAGCGTGTCCTTCGCCCAGATGAAGCCCCTGATCATTATAGGCTGACAACTCTGTACCCAAAAAACGCGTAATGTGGCCATCTGTCACATCCCTCTTCTGCTGAAAAAGGATTACATCCTTATTCAATACAGAAACTCTCCTTTATGGACCCTTTGAAGAAAGCTTTTTTTCAGAGACTAAACCACTTTACCAGAAATTTATCTCCTTGACGGAGCCCGAGGCAGCTGTCTCCAGGGGAAGCTACAAAGTCTTCTACTCTAATAGCATTTTTCTGAAAAGGCCAGTTAAGTAGAAGTGTTCTTTGCCTGGGAGGTTTGGCAGTGCCTTAAAAGTTGTTACAAGAAAATAATTTTATTCTGCATGTTTTTAAGTAAGTGAAACGTTACAGTCTAGCTTGGAATAAGGATTCCACTGTCTCACAGCCAGGATTTTCAGAGCTTTAGATTCATTATTGTCATTATTTTTAAAAAGTAGTGGACTATATATCTTGCCAGCATCAGCTTCCAGTGCCTAACAGAGTACCCTGAGCGATCATTCAATCGCTACGTGTAAACAGCTGCAAAATGAAGACTGAGTCTGAACTAAATAGTCTCCCATAACTCACAAAGTCAACGCAGAATACTGTGAACTAGCAAGCCCCACTAAAGCCAGCACACCTACAGCAAGCCTACACTGGGGAGAGATGAGGAAAAAAAAAAGAGGGTAGTGGCCAAACAGTTGGGCCAAGGTAGCCAAATGCCTCCCGCGATGTGACGCCCAACAGCAGCCAGCACTAATAGGTGAGAGAGCTTAGGCGCTGCTTGCTAATTTGTTAAGAAAAAAAAAAGAATGTGGATTCTTTCAGTCAGCTGGGGCATAAGCAGTTGGGATTTTTCATAGAAATGTGTCTCCTCCTGTATGTGTCAGGGTCCTGAGTGCACCAACAGGCTCTGCAACCTCCCCGCAGGAGCCTTGGATCACAGAGCTGGGAAAGAGCGGCATGAGAAAGGGCTGAGAGGAGTCGCTTGGGAGCTGCCGTTAGGCTCAGTCTCTCGCCTTTGGTGCCTACATGAGCTACGTTGCAGGTACGCCTGTGCCCGAGGTTGATCCTGATCCAGACCTGCTGACTTGACTTGCTGGCTTCATCGTGGACTTCATTGCTACGGACCTGCCGGGCGGTTTGGACTGTTAGATGACCCCGGTTACTGTCAGCAGACCTGCTCTGCTCCGTTCTTTCGGGTACTGTGGGACTCTTTTTGGGGAGGACAGCGTACCGCCCTGCTCTGCTGTCACCTTTGGCTCCTGGCTCGCCTTCTCTTCTGGGAGCAGCACGCCCTTGCTGCTTCCTCCCAGTGCGCTTACCGTGATGATTAAACGTATGCATCACGGTTTGAGATCTGGCATTACGCATTACAGCTGGGACACGAGACTCTCTAGCTATCCCACAGGAAACTGGAAATCAGAAAATTGCAAAGATGCCTGGCAAAAGCTTCAAAACATTTCCATTTCCCACAAAGGCTCTGAGGGGCTTCGAATGCCAAAATCCTTTACAACGCTAAGTTTCAAAAGATGTATTTCCCTCTGTAAACAGGAATGCATTTGCCACAGCTCTGGAAAAGAGGTTTAGTATAATAGGACAGTCTCAGATACTAATGGAATCAGGGAAGATGCAAATAAGGTATGGATTAATCTAAATGTCTGGTAAGCCTAGCTTTAGGAGGGCCTAATACACAACCCTGAATTGAGAATGATATGGAAATTACCAGCAATCGAGCCTCTTCTTCCTTCAGCCGCTTCACCTCCTCTCTGTGAGCACTGAGCACCGCTACCTGGGCACTGAGCGCATTCAGGATTTCCCGACTCTGTTCTGCTGATTTCTGCATCTCCGCCGCCTCTCGCTTTTCCTTAGCCAACCTCTCCTCTATCCAAAGCCCTGCAAACATCTGCTCCTCCTCCTTCTGTTGCTTTTTCAATTCCTCCTTCAGAGCTAGCTGGGCCAGCTGGTCTTCACGCAATTCCTTCTGATGCTTCTTCGTCTGCTGTACGCGAAGCTCCTCGCATTGTTCTCTGAAAGGCAACGTTAAAAAAAGAAAAGTCGCAAAATAATAAGCAAGTCTGGAGATCTGTGGTGGATGGAGGCTCATAACTACTCAGAGGACTACGGCTCAGGATGCCAGCTTCCACACCCGGTCTGACACTGACTCCTTGGGAGGCCTAAGGAATCACAGAGAGCCTGATTTGATGGAGATTTTGACCTTAATCAGTTGAAGAGCAGGTCCTATATTTGATTTATAAAAATATATACACACGTACAATATATAAATATTCATATATGCAAAGTGTATTTTATATATGGAGTTGGAACACGTGCTGTGTGCAGTTTTATATATATATATAATTTCTTTTAACATATAAAACACATGCACGCTACGCTTGTTCAAACACGTAGGTTGCTCTTTATTCAAATGAAGACTTAGAATAGGTTTACTAGTCACTTGAAAGCTCATTCATATTCAGAAAATACTCTGCAAGCAGAAGTTTAGGTTACGCAGTTGAACAGGAACCACTAGAAACGTATTCATTTTTTTAAATCAAGTTTTGTGGGATAATTCAGAAGAGTTGCAATAAGAGCCTGGAGAAGCTAGAAAGTCAAATAAGTAACACAGCTTTCAGTTTTCATTTACTCACTGCAATTGAGTTGCAAATAAGCAGAATATTTATCTTCAGTTGAAGAACACACGACTATTTAGAGATTCTGCTTTTATTTTTACAAACAAAGCACTATCGAGATGAACGTATGCTATCAAACGATGTTTAATTTGAACAATATACAAGCATTTTAATTCTGTTCTATAACCGGGATATAGATTTTCATAAAATCGAAAGATGAAACTAGCAGACAATGGTGAAGATCTACAAGCGTTGAGGATCCGTAAGCTCTAAGGACGTGTGATAGACACACATGAATGCTGTGAAGTAAAAAGATATCTCACAATTTCATGCTGGATGAAACCATCTTCTACAGATTATTGCAATGCTATTTGGGAATTTACAGCAGACATAAGATATCATTGACTGAATCTTAAACCACTGCATGACAACAGTAGTTACCTGTACAATGTGAAATACTTTATACAACGTTTAGCGGACAATCCTGTGTAGCAAAAATATTAAATATTCATCAAGCAACTATCTCATAGTACTATCATTTTCCACGATAGTAATTTAATTTTCATAACTACGGCAATGAAACAAAATATGAATGAATCCCATTGCCTAAGATTTTTTTTTTTTTAAACTTAAAAGCAAAATTGAGTTTGCCAGCACTAAAGAAAGATACTTGGTGGTTTGCTTTTTCATGCTAAGGATCTGTCTTTGCAAAGCCTTCACTTTCCCAAATGATTCCTAAGTCCAATAGCTGCTGTCTCCATCTAAACCCACATCTATATTCCCTGACCTGGGTTTTGGGTATAGAATTAATAGGAGCGTTATTCTCTGTCTGGGGCCATGGGTTCACACCTCCACAGAGGCTACAGAAACGATGCAAATTTGGCCTCTCCCTGAGGTCAGCTGCTATATCCGCTAGGCCCGAGGAAAGAGTTTAGCAACACAGGATGCGACTGCTGCTCTATAACTCATTTCTGCCCTAAAACTAGTAAGATTATGCTCCAGAATAATGGTTTCTTTACTTGACACTGCTCCTTCGTCACCTCCCGCTCACCTCCTGCTAACAAACGCAGAATGAGCGCAGCTCCTGGTATCGTTAATATGTGGCTGAGGCAACTACCAGCGTGTAATAATTATGTGTTGGCTTAGAAGATCTGCCAAAGCTTTACCAATAAAACTCCACGCTAAGCCAGCCTAATAAAAATTACTTAGAGCTTATAAACCACAAAGAGCGTTTCCCAGAATAGCTGTCCTCCAGTTCAGAACCGGCTGAACAAGCTGACAGACAGAAAAAGCGACAGTGCCGAAAGCCAGCCTGACCCTGTTCTCGGTGCCACAGCGAGAGCCATCCAACCAGTCACACGTACAGTGGAGCGGTACAAAAATCAGAGCTGTAACTGCGGAGGGGAAAGATCGCTATGCCTTGCTCTCCCTTGGTGCTGCAGGAGTGAGATACAGCCAAGGAACACAACGCTTGACCTGTAATTTCATGCAGAAGCAGAGGTCTCACCACATTTTCTTCCTGTCGGCATTCGCTGTTTGCTGCCTCGCATTTCAGCTGTAAGGTTCTGGGGCCGAGGCCATCTCTGTCCTCATCTTCTATTAGTAAAGCACCTAATGCCGTGGAGGCAGTGGTGAGAGGCGCTAAGCACTATACACAAACGATAAAAGGGACAGCAGTGCCATGAAAACAAAATTCTTATTTTACTTGATATCCAGAAGGCATTTCTAACCTCTTAACTGTCCCTGACTGAGAAGGAACAAAAGTAATCTGCCGAGTCCCCTTTCATCAACATCAAGTCTCCGTAAGATAAAGCCTCCCACACTTAGCACTTTTCTCCCCCGATCCTAGGACACGCCACATCCTCTCCCCAAGCGTTGCGTTCTTCCCTGAGAGTTGGGTTTGTATCCTCTAAAGGAGAAACTGTCCCTGGAATGAGGAACCATCCTCAGCTCCGGTCTTCAGAAGAGAAGGGTGAGGAAATACAGGAACAAAGGAGCAGATTCCAGTGCAGGCTAATGAAAAGGGTAAAAGTAAAATGTTTTACTTCCTTGTGTGAGATGGGAACCTTCTGCCCGCTCATTCACTGGTCGTCCCAACAACGAAAGCAGAGAACAGCGCAGCGATGGGCACGCCGTGAGGCACCGCACGCTCCGAGAGGTGCCCCTGCCTTCAAGCAGGTCAACAAACCCACTACGGCATTGCCGGTTTTCTTACGTTTCAACACGGAGATCTATCTTCCAACGCCTGGGTAGGAGTTAGTGGTGATTAAAGACTACGGTACTCATTAGTATTCATGAAAAACATATTTCTCAAATGTTCTGAGGGAAACATGTCATTATTAAGATTTGAAATCTTACACTATTAGAAATAACTGTATTACCTTAACACAATGGGTTCAAAGTTCTCTCAGCAGTGAAGGAATATAGAATTAGTTATTCTTTTCCATGATATAAACTAATCTGAATTTAATTGAATTCTCAGAGGGGAAGAGAAGTTAAATAAAAGTTCAGCATGGTTAGAATTTTAATATAAAATAACCCTCTAATTGCTTGATTTCATCAAAATAATTCCTTCAAAGCAGCTTTTACCGCAACCTATAAACATCTGCTCCCCCAGATGGCTGTTTTTCTTCCTCACTTTGCTATCCTAAGCTTCTTAACATTAAAATTGTGCCTGTACGTAGCCACTTCCCAAAGACAGAAACTGCATTTATTCCCCCCGTCCCCCAGTTATTTATTCATTTTATGGCTGCAGTACAGAGTTGCTGTGATGATAACATTCTCGGTATGGATGCTTCTGATGGTATCACAAGAAAGAGGATGTAAGATGTGTTTTATGCAAATTTTAAGACATTGCCAGTTGCTTTGAAGATGCCAATGACGAACATGTCCTCGGGCTAAAACTGGCTGAATATCTTTTCATACAAGTTGTAGCCCTTCATGAAAATGAATTCCAGCGGGACTCCGGTGGTCCAAGGACTGTGCCCTCTGTCACCTTGTGATAAAGGATTTTTCCTGGCTAAGATCACTACTGAGAAGCTGTTAAATCTGTACCCTCGGGCTACTGCTCCAAAAGAGCGTATGGCATCCTGGCTTGCATCAGGAATAGTGTGGCCAGCAGGACCAGGGAGGTGACGATGCCCCTGTGCTGGGCACTGGTGAGGCCGCCCCTCGAATCCTGTGCTCAGCGCTGGGCCCCTCACCCCAAGAAGGCCATGGAGGGGCTGGAGCGTGGCCAGAGCAGGGCAGCGAGGCTGGGGCAGGGGCTGGAGCACAAGGCTGGGGAGGAGCGGCTGGGGGAGCTGGGGGGGCTCAGCCTGGAGAAGAGGAGGCTGAGGGGAGCCCTCATCGCTCTCTGCAACTGCCTGAAAGGAGGCTGGAGCCAGGGGGGGTCGGTCTCTTCTCCCCAGGAACAAGCGATGGGACAAGAGGGAACGGCCTCAAGCTGCTTTGAAAGCGCTGTCAGGCCCTGGCGCAGGCTGCCCAGGGCGGGGGCTGAGTCCCCATCCCTGGAGGTATTTAAAAGCCAGGTAGATGCGGTGCCTGAGGACATGGTTTAGTGGTGGCCTTGGCAGTGCGGGGTTAACGGTTGGACTCGATGATCTTAAGGGTCTTTTCCAACCTTAACGATTCTATGATTCTAAGAGCTTCCTTGTGGTACTCTGGAATGATGTACTGGAGCGCTGTACGCTATAGGTGCTCCTATACCTCACATTTGAGAATCTATAGCTGCAAAAGAGTGGAACACCTTGCTTAAAGTTAGAAGAAATATAAAGAAGGCTGTATTAGGTTTCAGAAAGACATTCAAAATGGTTGTAAATTCGCAGGCAAAGGGAAACAGAAAATCATGTGTATATCCACCCATTACTGAAACGGCCTCCCAGGGCTCCTCTGGCTGTGCCCTAGAGTAGCGGTCTCCAAAGTAGGGTGTGCAAGACAATCCATTGGGGTGCGGGAAGAAAATATGTTTTGTACCAATAATAAATAACATTAAAAATAAAAATAGTGTTTATTTCATCTTCTTCTCACCCTCTTTTAACTTCTATTTTTGCCTATGTTTTATAATGTACAGTAGTACAAGCATATAATTTATAAATAAGTAAACATCCTTGGGGTGAGCGCTAAAAAAATTTTTAATGATAGGGGTGCGCAATCAAAAAGGTTTGGAGACCGCTGCCCTAGAGGACAGGTTGTGGCACAATTACAGATTTCTGGTTGTGGATCTTCAATAAGTGTTGGTTTCCTGAAGAGCAAAGCCTCCTCCCAGATCTCTGCATGGACCAGGATGGTTTAGGAGGAAGAGTAACAGCTAACCGTGGGGGGAAAAAAAACAGATTTGGGGCTACTTAAAGATGAGAAATACATGCAGATTCAGATATGAGAAGTTACTAATCTAATCAGAATTGATCACCACAGTAGAGACTCCCTTTTAAAATATTACTAAGCATATACATGAAGAAAGGTATCTGTCTTTCAAAGGAGAGATCAACAGACAAGGTGAACTCTCGTCAGCTGGTGTTATTAAAGTTCTTGTTTTTTACAGGGACCTTAATTTAAAAGTAGAAAAAGACAGAGCTAGAGGAACAGGGGGAAGAACTGACCATGGAAATGTATTTCCATTACGTCAGGACACTTAAAGAGAAGGACTCTGGGCGCTGTAGGATGAAGATTCATTTGCAAAGATACTCAAAGACTGCCACTCACAACAGCTGTGAAGAAAGAGGATTTTACTGCCTCTAAATCCTCTGAAAAACTGCAGCCAGCAGAACGCCACCAGCAAAACTCCAGCAACACTTTTTAATGGGAGACTATGTGGTATGAATATTGCCTAGATCCAAGAGCAGACTGGGAAATGTAGAAGGACGATGGGAATGATCCCATGAAATCTGAGTGAAGCAGAGATCAATAGGGTGGTACTGGGAAGAAAGAGGACCTGAGACATTATAAAGACAGGCAACGGCAGCATGAAAGTCCAAGTACATATCACCAGATGATGAGATTCATTGGTGGGACTCATTTTGCAATTAAAATATCTAAAATTAGGCATCTAAATAGAAATCAACGTGTGAGCTAAATTCCCATTCTAACCAATGGGAATCGAGTCAATGCAGTCAGTGGAGGCTAGGGTGCAGTTCAACTGGCAGACCAGTATATACCTACTTTAGGATGACATTAGGTTCCTTTAACTGTCCTGATCTCAATGAAGATCTGCTGAGTAGAACACGATTCCGTATTCCCAATGAATAAAAAGATACCAACACTTAGACACCTACCTTTAGGTGTCTAAATCGCAAGCTGAATCCCTTCTCCGTGGTATGGAAGCCAAGCCTCAAGTACAAAAATAAGAGGCACTCCAGCAGTGTCTCCTCTAAACAGCTTTAAAGATGAATTTCAACCACTTTGTATGATGGGTAGAGAGCAAACTAGGAACTGTAAATTGCGAGGGCCATATTTTAACACCAGCATGTGAATTTAGAAGTGCATACGCTGCCTTACCACCTGTCTCAGTCAATAAACCAACATTTATCTGTGAAATTAGTTAATTAGAGTTTATGCACTCGTGAAAGCAAGTGTTGATTTTTATCCCCAGCCTCTAGCACACTGAGAAGCAGGTGTTGTGGATTTCCATAGCACTGTGGGAGACTGGGAAGAGACACTTCAAATGATTACAATTGAATTACATTAATATTATTTTCATCCCTTCCTCAGAAAACCAAATTTCCAAGAACTGAGCAAGTCAGATTTCATGCCAAGGCCTCAGGGCCTGATAAACACCTGCAAATCTTAATGACTTCAAAAGAGGCTGCCAAGCTCAGCAGCCAGGAAGACTTGGCACAGAACTTCAGGCTGCATTAAAACCTTAGCTGGTACTCTTGAAAAGTATACAATAAATAAAACCACTGTCTTTTTGGACAATCTGAACTTTTCAAGGATCTTGGATGTATTAGCATGATTTAGGCCAAATTAACCTTCCCTGAACCCTTTTCATTCCCATAGTATAAAGCTGAAATAGAACTGTATGCCAGAACAAGGAATTACAAAAGCAGCTGACAGCCCAGGGATGCTCACACAGGACAAGGAGTTTCATACTACACTTGGAAGAATATTTTCAGGGTATCTCAACGCTTAAATCGAATAATGGAGACAGTACAGTTCTTCGTACCTGTTGCCTTCATCTCTAGCAATGAAAATTTTTCTCGCATGCTTTCCTGAGCGTTGCAAATTTGGCTCCCTGGTTTTTAGAGGCTGCACCCCTTCATCGAAAGTCAGAAAAAGACCATACTCTGCTCCACCGCATGCAACATAGCCGAGGCCTTTCAACTTCTAGCAAAGCTCATACACCTCTATCCAAACCACCCTAATTTTTTTTTTGTTTTATCAGTTCAATCACATTCATCTTTCCTTCCTCAGTTTATTATTGTCACCTTCTTGTTAAATTGCCTTTTTGTATTTACTTAACCCAAATTCTATTTTACGATACCTGAATTGCTGCTCTCGCTTTTCAGCCACCAGTTGTTGTCTTTCTTTTTCTCTCTTCTCTCTCAGTAGTGTTGCTCGCTTCCTCATTTTCTCTTGTTTCTCCAGTACTGTTTCTTCAAGTGACTCCATCTCAGCCAAGTACCTACTTTCCTCTGCCTCCAGAAGCTCACGAAGCCTGTAATGAAAACATTTAAACAAAAGCTAGAACAATCCTTCTGTTAAACGATAAAGTTCTAGTTTATTTGTTATGAGCGCAAAATGGGTACTGGGCTCCTTTCAACGCTTCTTGCAAATGCCAAAGAAGGGAACATCCAAGAGAACATCAAATTTGAACTCGGGGATTGCTCCTGTTGTGCCCGTGGAGGGGATCTTACAGCACAAGACGAGTGATTCTGGCCTGGCACAATTTAAGCTCCTTATCTTACAAACCCATTTCCAGTGCTGCTTTACAACTTCAGTCCCCCATTAAACAAATTCTTCTAATTTCCAGACTACATTTGTGACCAGCTGATATCAATTTGATCTTGTATACTGTTATCCTTTAGCGTAATCCCTCCCTGGTATTTACCACCCTTCTCTACACATCTCTAATTGTATCTTCTCTCCAACTACCTTTTGTTATTTTAGCACCACTCCATAAATCACTTCATCCCAAAAGACCTTTGATGAGAAAATTATGTCAAATCGGCAACTTTTAAACACCCCACCATTTACCTCTCTATTAATCCTTGCAGTATGAAACCTGGGGCTAAGGAATCCAGAAACTCGCTAATTCCAGCCCGAATGTAACGGGCTTCTGGGAAATCACTCTCACTTTTACGCAATGGGATGCCCCTGCTACTGCATGAGCAGCAGTGCTATGGACCTATGCTGGCACCGCTGGTGGGAGTTAGAGTAGCAAAGCCAAAGACCTACTAATTCTGGACACTGAATTGCACTCTCTCCACCATGTACTGAGCCCAGTCTCCTTGCAAACACAGCATGGGGATCTTAAGCAGCTAAATAAGAACAAATCCCACGAAATTCGACAGAAATTCTGCGCCTGGGGAGGAATAACCCCATGCATCGGTGCACGCTGCGGACTGACTGGCTGGAGAACAGCTCTGCAGAAAGGGACCTGGAGGTCCTGGCAGACAAGCTGAACATAAAGCCAGCAATGCACCCTTGCGGCAAAGGCGGCCAACAGCATCTTGGGCTGCGTGGGGAACCTGCCAGCAGGTTGAGGGAGGTGATCCTTCCTCTCAGCGCTGGTGAGGTCTCATCCGGAGCACTGGCTCCAGTTCTGGGCTCCCCAGCACAAGATACAGACTTAGAGGGGCGAGCCCAGTGAAGGGCCACTAAGATGATTAGGGCACTGGAGCAACTCTCCTAAAAAGGAGAATCTCTCCTAAAGATCTCTCTCCTGTGAGATCTGGGACTGTTCAGCCTGGAGAAGAGAAGGCTCAGGGTGATCTTAGCGGTGTATATAAACACCTGAAGGGAGGGAAAGCAAAAAAGGGAGACATCTTCTTCTCAGTAGTGCCCAGTGACACAACAAGAGGCAATGGGCGCAAATTAAAACATGTGAAATTCCACCTGAACACAAGAAAACACTTTTTTTTTTTACTGTGAGGGTCGTCAAATACTGGAACAGGTTACCCACAGAGGTTGTGGGATCTCCATGTGTGGAGATAAGCAAAATGTAAATGGACAGGGCAACCTGCTCTAGGTGACTGCTTGATTGGACTAGATTATCTCAGGAGGTTCATAGAATCATAGAACCATTAAGGTTGGAAAAGACCCTTAAGATCATCAAGTCCAACCGTTAACCCCGCACTGCCAAGGCCACCACTAAACCATGTCCTCGAGCACCACGTCTACCCTTCTTTTAAATCCCTCCAGGGATGGGGACTCAGCCCCTGCCCTGGGCAGCCTGGGCCAGGGCCTGACAGCCCTTTCCGTGAAGAAGTTTTTCCTAATATCCAACCTAAACCTGCCCTGGCGTAGCTTGAGGCCGTTCCCTCTCGTCCCATCGCTTGTTACTGGGGAGAAGAGACCGTTCCTTCCAGCCTCAATGATTCTGTGCAATTGGTGTACAACTCCTGTCCTATGAAGACACATCAGATTGCGATACCAAACTGATGACCTTCACAGCTCCAGAGTCACTTAACAGGAACGAGTAACTGAGAAATTAAACCATGCGATTTTTTTCTAAGATCAGCAGAGCACAATTCTGTTCTTTACAAGACAGTAATATGCCTCACCTTTACTATTTTTGACAGACTTCTGCCAAATTTTCGTTTCCTTCAACTGCCTGTGCCGCAAAGTATTACTGGTAGGACCAAAACATGAATGAGGTTGCAACAAAACCCTCAGTTACACCCAACAATTAGACCTTCTGACACTTTTATCAACGTACTCTTCGTTCTCTTTAAAAATCAAGCAATGCAAGTGCTATAATACTACTTTTATCTTGCATTTGGCAGACAAGGCTCTAAATGCCACCTAAACTGTACTAGTTACTGTGTTTGAATACGTATCTCTAGCGATTGGCTCGGTGACTAATACTAGTAACGAGTACTGTTTGCTCTACATCGCTGCTTGACTGCCAATTAAACACGCCTACGCTTTCTGTTACGATGAATAACGAATACCAAGCCACAACGCACAGTGTAACGCACAGAGCTGAGCTCAACTGAGCGTTTTCCCCATAATCGCTCCTCTAAGCGTACCGTTAAGTTGAAAATAGTAGGGCAGATATTGGTATTAGCTACTCGTTTGCTACCTCTCTCGTCTCTCATCAGTCCCTGCCAGGTACTCCTGCATCGTCGCATCCACCTTTCTCTGCACAACGCCGTGGAGCCATTTTTGTTCGTTGCGTTGCTGCCACTCATGGACGCTGCGACACTGGTTGTGAAGCTTTAAGAAACCAGTATATTCCAGGAGTTCCTTTTCTTTCTGTCTGCGAGCCGAGACAAAATTTTCACTTGTTTGTTCTTTAGGAGGCTTAGCTCTCTGTAAAAGAAAGCGTGTCAGAGAATCCTTTAGGTTGGAAAAGACCTTTAAGATCATTGATATGTCAGTGGTGAAAATATATAATCAGGTACTCTGGGTTGTTTGTTTTTTGTTTTTTCTAGTTGAATTCATGACCAAATAAGTACCTAACACCAAATGATGAGTTCAGGGTAAATCCCAACAAGCCTTGCCTTCACGACACCAGTACAAGAGCATGAAATGGCTTCAGGTGCCAGCACTTGCCTGTTGCCCAGGCTATGGTTTACATCTTACCCTATTTAGCTGAGAGGATGGCTGGGGTCTGGTTTACACCAAACAAACGTTCTCACCGCGGGTAACCTCCAGCCACCTCCCTCTCCCACAGCCCGGAGCCCCTCACACACCGCCGCACCCCACGGCACCCACCCGTGGCCCACGTACCCCCAAAGGAGCGACCTCGCCCCGCACCGGTACAGCCGGACCGGTTCCCCCAGGGACCCGCAGCGGGTGGCAGCGGGGCCTGCCGAGGCCCTCCGCCCGCACCGC